CAAATATTTGATTCAATTTGATTTGATTCGATCAAATTCAAATTGATTCAAATTGATTCGATCAAATATTTGAGTTCGATTTGATTCGATTTGATTCGATTTGAAAAAATCAAATCAAATTCAAATTACTTAAATATTTGATTCGATTCGATTTTGAGGAACCCTAGTATTAGTTATATATAGATCATGTTATCTGAGCTTGAATTGTTAAAACAGTGCATCACTGAACTTGAGACTGAGAATACAAAGCTTAGGAAGAAGAATACTGAGATCCTCTTATCTTAGAAACAAGCTTTCAGTGTCTGATGCTGAAATAGCTGAACTTAAGTGCAAGAATATCAAGTTTCTAAGAGCGAATAAGAAATATAACGAGAGGCGTGATTAAAGATGATTCCCATAATTATTTTTAAAATTTTTAATTAGTTGCAACTTAAGTTGCAACACTTTAAGTTGCAACATTTTATGAACTTTATATTAAAATAAATTTACAAGGAGTTGCAACTTACCGAGTTGCAACTTCTTAATTATGGTGCTCATCTTTAGACATGATGCTGAAAATGCTAAACTCAGGGTCAGAATCGAGAAGTTAAAATCTAAGAATGCTGAGCTTAGATATCGTGTTATGAAAGTGAAACAGAGGCAGTTGCCAAATGATAATTCTTCTAATGATAATACCTCTAATAATAATACCCTAACAATAACTTATCTAACTTCAATTTGGATGCGGTCTATCATGAAAAATCATCACAGGAGAAAGAGATGAATATTTTCTTAAATGGAATGAATAAGAAAATCATTGGTGAAGATATTAGGTGACTCAATAAGGAGAAGAAACTCCAGTGTGAATCAGCTGGTCAGGATAGCTCTTCTAATACTGCTTATGTATCAGAAATTGTTAATAATATTGAGGTGCTGAATGGGTTAAAGAGTCGAATCATTAATGGAAGTAATAGTTTTACTTCCTCAGATTTATCTTGCAAAATGGTTGTAATTACAGATATCTCATACATAGCACCTCTCGATCAAGATCAAGATCATGATCAGAAAGATATTGCTTTCTCTGTAGTAGATCTAAACTTATTACGTGATATAAAAACCCTTAATAATGTTAAGAGATTTTCTGAAATTTGAAATTATCACATGAAAAACTGGAGGAAGAAATTGCCAATATTCCTCCTAGCATCTGCTCGAAGATAGATAGAAATATAAAGACAGAAAGATCAGAGAAAGAAAATTCTTCTGATAGCTTACCAGGACACATTCTACCAACTAAGAATGGTGGGAATGTTCAGGCTTCCTCAAATATAGTAACTGAATTTATACAAGATTTGTTGGAAGAGCTACTCTTATCTGATGATCCACTCCAGACTATAAAGTTTTCTTCTTTCAAAACAATAGTTCCTGGATCAATAAGTATCAAAAAACTTGCCAATTCATTCTGCCAGGCAAATGTTATAAGAAATAAAATGATTGTAGCAAAGCGATCAAAGATTATGTTATAGTGTTTATTTTCTGAAAGGTTCGAAGATAAAGTTGTAGAGCTTAGGTCTAATGATAAAAAACTTACGGATCTGACTGCAAGAAAGCAGATTTATAATAAAATGAAACTATACCTTACAGATGTTTTGATTGGATATTTACAAGTAATGACCTGTAAAGCGAGAAAAATCAATAAATTATTTGAGTATAGATATGATCCTGTAATTCTGAAAAAAATTAAAGGTATATCAGGATATATAATTCAACAGGTCACCTATAGCGCTGATAAAATTTCAAGGCTTACTAATCCTTAAATTGATTATATTATAGAATAAGTCAAATTGAAGACAACCTTTCAGCTCATGATTCTAATTCAGATGATTCTGACGCCAATGAATCTGACTCCGATGCCAATAAATCTGATTCTGATATATATTTCAAATCTGATAACTCTGACTCCGATAATGAGTATGATCACGAACTTCATGAAAGGCTCACACATGAAGAAATGGCAAGAATAGCGAAGTTAGAGGAAAAATACCAACTAAGTCTGCCGATGACAATTTTAATAAAATACTCATAGAAATCCACGAGAACTATGATATATATTTTGATGATCCCGTATTTCAGTTAGTAATAAGTCCTAATATCTCTCTGGCAACCGTCTAGGAGAATTATCAAACGAAATCACATATTCGCATAGACTAAATTATCATATAGGTTATTTCTTTTTTTGAATTACGTGAGTGACTTATCTAAAAGAGACTGCGGTATTCTAAACCTGATCACCTGAAATGCATCAGTAAAATTCTTGCTGAAGAATAAGGCTGTGTGATGTAAGAATGGCATATATATTTGCATTATTTTCAAATTATGTGGGTGGCTTAGATATCATACGCAGTAAGACGTCATCTCTATTTTTGATGATTCTTTATCACCTGAAATGCGCAGAAGATATTTGGTAAAATTTTTGCCAAGCCTTTCAGATAGGCTGTTTTTTTTTCTGAACTTACAGTCATTTTTAAACTTTTTTTTAGCTAAAGATAAAGGCTAGACCTTTTTTCAAATAATTAAGAGAAAAATCAGGTAATATAATTTTTCCTATATACTTTACATAAGCCAGAGTAAGATTACTTAAGGGCTAAATCTCTTTTACATAATGATGAATGTTAATACATGCGTCTCCTAAAAATAGGGATAAATTTACGCCAATGCTCCTGATGAATCTATTTCCAAAATGGATAATTTGCCAAGTGGATTTGACTGAAAAGTTTTTTATAAATACCTTATCAATAATGGCATTATTAACCATCTGTTATTATCTATATTTTCTGAAGTAAATGAAGGTTTTTTGTATTGAACTGCGCCTAAACGAATAGAACTTCCACCTTCTTATATGATCGAAGCAAGAAAAAATATCAAATTTCTACAGATTTTTAGTTATTCTTTTGGTCTTTCTTTAGATAAAAAATGAAATAAGAGAATAGGACTTTATAATATAACTTATTCATATTCTGTACCTACATAATAGCAAAGCTACCTAACAAATATTTCGATAAATTTTTATTAATAAAAATCTTTTCTTGCGTAAGGCTTCACAGCCAAGCATTTACGAAAAAAAATATTATTATTATTCATTGTTTGAAACATGTTGTAGGGATATGGGAGATATGAAAATGCACTAACTTTTTTCATCTTTAGGTATAGGCGTCGAACAGGATCTTGATAATTTTCTTTTTTTAGAAATAGAAGTAAAATTATGACAACATTTCATGATTATTCCAGATCCATATTTTGATGCTAATTTTCTATGCTAGTGTATATAGGCATTTATTTTGCCAGGCTATTGTAAAACATATAAAAGGATTATTTCTAGAGAAGCGCTTTGGTATTTCTTTTTTTCCAACAAGTAAAAAATATCAATTTTACATAAAACTAATAAAATAAAAATCTATCTAAAAAATGTTTTCAACCTCTTGATTGCAGTCTTCAGCATCACAATTGTATTTTACGAGATGCTAAACTGTGATGTTCTAACTATAGAAATGATTCAGAGTATTTTTTCAGGAAATATAAGCATTTATTTAATTTTAGCTATTACTATCTTCTTTTTTCACAAATATCTAATGGGATCACAAGATAATAATCTTGAAAGAACACTCTTAACATTAAGCAATGAGCTTCAAAGGATGCGTACAGAAGCTGAATGGAAAAATGAAATGTCATTACAAGGTAGATCATGCGTTAGAAAAAATCATACCAGTTATGCATATATACTTATCTACATTAAACTGTGCCCTAGCTGGATCAAACTGATTCTTTTCACAAGTCACGTTTTCATAGAACTATATTCTGAATATACGGATGAATATGAAACATACTGGGTCGAATTTACAGCTCTTTTAATAACAGGAGGAAAAAGGAAGAACGTTTTCCAATGCAATTGTACAATATTTTATCAATCGAAACTGATCTTAGTGCTAGTACTTTAGCTAGTTTTTACTATTACCAAAAATCTCCAAGAACAATTTCTATAGATAAAATTATTGCATAAGTTAAAAAGAAGGGAAATAAAAAAGTAGTTAGTTTTAGCAATAGTAGTAGCAGTAGCAGTAGTACTAGAAGTAATAACAGTAATATCTTCAATAAAGGTAGTAGTATGAAATAAAATTAATGCTGGAACTCTCATTTTATGGCATAGGATCTGAGTACTCCCTTCCTCTTAGAGTGTTTATGACTCTTTGTGCATTATTTATTTCAACCGCTATTATTCTAGCCATTTTTACTTAACAGGCCAGCCTTTTCTCATGTATTACTTCATGAAAAAATATTAGAGTTTAGATTTGTATATTCGTAATCTATGTATCCGTACAGATAACAGATTGCGGATACTCATTTTACTACTTTGGATAATATCCATGGATAAATAATTTTGTATGGATAATCTGTGGATAATCCTTATATCCAGTGTTGTCATGGGACATAGTTAGGACACTGATGGGACACTGATGGGACATTGATGGGACAGATGGGACATTTGGGACATATATGGGACATAGTTAGGACATATAGTTGGGACATATAGCTGGGACAGCAAATGCTTGGGACATAGGAAATGTACATCACTGCTTATATCTATAGATAATCATGAAAAATATCATTCCAAAAGAACGGTGAAAAAATATCGTTCTTAAGAAACGATAATTGAATCGTTTCAAAAGAATAATGAAAAAATATCATTTTTTGGAACGATAATGAATCGTTACAAAAGAATGATAAAATGGAATGATGATGTATTGTCTAAAGGAATGATTATGTATCATTCTAAAAGAACGATAAAAAAATGATTCTAAAGGAACGATGATATATCTTTCTGATAGAACGATGAAAAAATAATCATTTTAAAGGAATGGTTATGTATCATTTTAAAAGAACGATAAAGAAATCGTTTTAAAGAAACGATGATGTATTGTTCTGATAGAACGATGAAAAAAATAATCATTCTAAAGGAATGATGATATATCATTTCTTTGGAAATGATTTTATCAATATCTATATTATTCATATATCCATGGATAACATGGATATGGATTATCCGTATTATCTGTATATTTATGAATAACATGTATATGGATTATTTATTCAATTTTTTTTAAATTATCCATATCTAGATTTAATTTTTATATGTATAACAGATATTAAATTTATATTATAGATATATATCTATGGATAATATGGATACTCAGATCCAAATTCTAATAATAAAGAATTTATTTAATTTTTAAAATATACGTGTGTTTATTTTGCAAGTAAAAATCATATATTATTATATTTGCTTTTGTTTTCTACATATTACAGATATAAATATTTCGTACTAGCGGACAACAGTAAATTAACGAAAAAATCTAATCATCTTCAGTTTGAGTACTACTATCATAATTAAAAGTAACATTGATCACGTTTGCATTTTGCGAAAAAAAGGTAATGTTAAAGTAACGGGTCTGAAAATATTAGGTGTTTCGACAGGATTTGATGATGTTGTGAGTGATGATGATTTGCCAGAGACACCAATGGTAGGGGACTTCTTAATAGCTTTTCCAGAAGTTGATTTCCATATGGGCTGTTCAGGTGAGACTGAAGAGGATGATGCCTCAAGAGAACTCGCACTACTTGACCTAACATCATTTTCGTTATATACCTGCTCAAGTGAAAATTCTAGTGTGATAGATAGAATCATGTTAATTTAGAGATAATCACCCACTTATTTTCTCCCGAAATATATACCTGAATTTAGCCAAAACTTGCTAGAGAACTCTTCGTAAATCTCTTCACCAACTAAACTTCTTTTGGTTTCAGTACCTTTTTTATACTTTTCTGCTATTTAATAAATAATAATAAGTATATTTTGCTATCCAGATTCCTCATAGAACCCAAGTAGTCGCTACTTACATAAAAAGCTTTTATGAGACTTAAGAATTTTATGACGATCATCACCTATGAAATAGTTTGTATTTTTCTGCTCATTAATCCTATTAGCAATTTTTTCCTAAAGAAACTGTTTCTTTTTGTTTGGAGTGATATGATACTCAGCATTTCTTTCTTTTCATTCATCAATGAAAATGCAAAGTTAAGCGTTAGACTACTCGATAAAAGACATGTTTTACATAGTGAAAAATTTCTCAAGTGAATGGAAAGCTGTTTTATGGAGAAATATCGAGTGATGTATTAGATTATTACAAGGCAAATTAATTGATCAATATAATGATTTATTCAAATAATAATGGTAGTATCATGTCAATAGATCAAAGGCGGTGAAATTTGATTGGCCAATTATCTCGTGATTTATAGAAACTCGTTAGCGTCTAGAACTCTCCTAAAATTATTGAGAAACTGGTAGGGATTTAGGAAGATCTCATGTGATACGATATACAGTCGACCCCCTCTATAGTCACCTCCTATATAATCACTTCCCTTCTTTAGTCACATTATAGTTCAGTTCTGATTTTTTAAATAAGAAAATACACCTTTTATAATCACATAATATATATAAATATAATCACATCAATTTTTAGTCCTATCTTATAATAGATGTAAGAAAATCGCCTCCTATATAATCACATCAAATTATATCCCTTTATATAATCACAGTAAAT